ACACACACACACACACACACACACACACTCACACACACACACACTCACACACACACAAACAAACAAATGCACACACACAAATACAGAAAAAAAACATACACACACACACACTTACATAACACAGACGTGCACACATGAATAGTCATTGGTTGGACATGATACAATTTTATTTCCGCACACCTGACAAAGGCGAAAAGCTCGTATAGATGATGGTATATATACATGTTTATACATGTTGGTACTTCCTTTGAAAAACAAGATAAAACGTTTGCTTTTCATTACAAAGTTTTATCAGCTCAGTATCTAGTTTTGAGAAATTTGACGTCAAAGATTTTGAGTTTCACACCATGTCAAGGTTTTTTCGAAAGCAGTTCTTTGAATATCTTGATAACGACTCAGAATAATCTTACGATTTTGATGGAGCAGTTAGAACACTCGGTTTCTGACCTCATGGTCTTAGTCACTCAAAACAGCCCAAAATGTCAGATAAAACTTTGTAATTCTGAGGCAGCAAGATGTTTGATATTCTGAATTAAATGAATGTTTGGTATGTGCAATGCTCTTCTTTGCTGCTTTCACCATAAATACACGATAAAGCCCGGTGTGACTATAGACTCGAGCTGAGCAAGCCCAATACAGCACAACGTCAAAACAGCAACTCAACTGTTTCGGATTTTTTTTTTACGTAAGCGGGTTTAACGCCCAACACTAATAGGTTATTTAAGAGGTAGACCAATCAATACAGGGAGAAAAAATCTTTAGGACAGACGAATGTGTCGACCATTGGCGCCCTCCTACCAGCCACAAGCAGAACGTAATGGTGACACCCGCTAACAATCCACAAGGTAAAATCTTACGGTGACACCCGCTAACAATCCACAAGGTAAAATCTTATGGTGACACCCGCTAACAATCCACAAGGTAAAATCTTATGGTGACACCCGCCAACAATCCACAAGGTAAGATCGTATGGTGACACCCGCCAACAATCCACAAGGTAAGATCTTATGGTGACACCCGCCAACCACCAGCAAAGAAGACGCCCTGGTTAACCAGACGCTCCAAACGACGTACCATACCAGCGGACAAAATATCTCCACACCATTACCCGGGTTTCATTTATACTAAGACTTATTTATGATTATAAACAGGATACAGCATCGTGGGTGAACTGGGATATACAAGGCCGACAGGCAGTAACTAATGAGTGAAACAAACAAAAAACAGTTGAACCTTCCAGTGCACTCAACAACCATCCGCATTGCAGAATCAGATACACATTATTAATCATAGTTATTGATTGAAGGTCTGGGTAATTTAGACAAGTCCTGAAACAGTTAGTCTGCTTGTTTCTTGAAATACAATCCATTGTCGAATACAACATTAAACAAAGCATTAGAACCGCATTTACTTGAATACGTTATTATGACTCCATCAAGCCGATTTAGAATATGCAAGAGGCGCGTTGTTTCGATTCTGCTAATCAGAGCTCGAACAGATCGTGGATTTTGTTGTTGTTGTTGTTGGTGGTGGTGGTAGTGGGGGGGGGGTAGAAGTGGCAGTGGTGATGGTGGTGGTGGTTTTTGTGTTTGTTTATTTGTTGGGGGAGCGGGGTTGCTGGCCGCCAATCAGGCGTCGCATGACATTACAGAGTTAGATAATATGTTCTTTACAGGCGAAATGTGACGGGCCTAATCACAGGACGCCCGGGTCAAATTTGAGAAATTGGATAAAGCATCTCCCCAGCAAGAGAACAGAACAAACACCTCGTGCCAACTGCAACTTTCGTCAAACCCGTACTTGACTAGGTATGATACATTTGAAGGTGGCTAGGTTTTCTTTCATTAAAGGACTCAAGCTAATCTTGTGGCAAAATGTTATCCAATTTTCCTAGATCAAATACATAATAAAAATTTGTTTAATTTTCTAAGTAACGATCGAGCGCATTTATGAAAATCGTGGCCAACAGCCAGTCAAATAGCTATAGTACGTGTCATATGACATTACGTGGACAGATCTTTTCTTTGCACATGGATGGTCACGGGCCCTTCAGGACGTTCGGATCAAATTTGATGAAGCAAGCAGAGGTGTATTTGTCAAAATATAATTTGTGCTTTGGACAGTCATTTCCCCAGTAGATCCACCCTGATGATAATAATATCGGAATTATTTTTTTTTTAAAGGACACCCTTTGCAACCATTGTGGGATCGGGTTGGGTAGGGCCGGTTATCTAGTCAGACTGAGGGCGCAAAGCGGTTATCATGGCACAAGCCGATCGCGCCAGACTCGTCGCCTCAAAAACCAAAGGCGTTTGTTTTCAGGCGACGAGTCGGGACGAGTCAAGCGATCGACCCAACCCGACCCGACCCGATCCCATCCGCAGTGGAAACCCGGTATAACAGCACATAATATGCATTTGATTTTGAGTATAAGTTGAAATAAAGAGAAGCACATAGGCACAATAACGGTTATACAGTGCAGGAAATAAGCATGACAGATTCACAGAAACAACGGAGGGGAAGAAAAGAAGTAGGACCTGCCAGCCAGTGGCACCTCCAACCACCCATCCACACATGCCGTTTGAATCAGAGGGAACGTTTGGGGTTAAAGGAGTTGTTTTAAAGATAAAGCCCAAGTCTCACACAACTAGTTTATTTCCTGGTGCTGTCTTGTGTGGGACACATTCAAAGGTCAGTCGCAACGATAAAACAAAGTCTGCAAGTTTCCAAACTCTCTCCTTCATTCAAGATTTGGAACTGTCAAATG